AGGGAAAGAAAGGTAGGTGGTCAATCTGGGTCACATCATAAAAGGGGACCAGGTACAAGTGAAGGCACTTCTAAATTTGGCATTATCTAAATGCCCATATTTTTAAAAAATTAATTTATTTTGAATTATCAACAATCACTTCCATAAGCTTTTGAGTTTAAAATTTTTCTTCCCCGCCCTTCCCACCTTCCTCCCCAAGATGGTGTGCAATCTGATATAGGCTCTACATATACATTCCTATTAAACATATTTTCACATTAGTGATGTAAGTAAGAATTAGAACCAATAGGAGGAACCACAAGAAAGAGGAAACAAACAAAACAGAAGAAAAAAAAGAGCAAATAGTATGCTTTGATCTGCATTCAAACTCCATAGTTCTTTCTCTGGATGCGGATAGCATTTTCCATCATGAGACTTTTGGTGATGTTATAGGTCCTTGTATTGCTGAGAAGGGTTAAGTCTATCAATGTTAGTCATTGTACAATGTGGCTGTTACTGCGTACAATGTTCTCCTGGTTCTGCTCACTTCACTTAGCATCAGACCACACAAGTCTTTCCAGGTTTTTCTGAAGTCAGCCTGTTCATCATTTCTTAGAGCACAGTAGTATTCCATTACATTCATATACCACAACTTGTTCAGCCATTCCCCAATTGATGGGCATCCTCTTAATTTCCAATTCTTTGCCGCCACAAAAAGAGCTGCTATAAATATTTTTGTACATGTGGGTCCTTTTCCCATTTTTATGATCTCTTTGGGATATAGCCCTAGACTTCTATTGGGTCGAAGGGTATGCACATTTTTATAGCCCTTTGGGCATAGTTCCAAATTGCTCTCCAAAATGGTTGGATCATTTCACAACTCCACCAACAATGCATTAGTGTTCCAATTTTCCCACATCTTCTCCAACATTTATCATTTTCCTGTTTTGTCATGTTGGCCAATCTGATAGATGTGATGTGGTACCTCAGAGTTGTTTTGATTTGCATTTCTCTAATCGATAGTGATTTAGAGCTAAATGCTCATATTTTTAAGGTGAGAAAATCCCACTCTTTCCAGGGCATAGATATTTCATTTCTGAAGAGCTGAAAGCAGACAGACAGTGAATGGACAAAGAGAAATCATGGATTCAGAGCTCCAAGGAATCTTAGAGGGCATCTGGACAAATCACATTTTACAGATGGAGAAATTGAGTCCCAAAGAAGCTAAATTACTCATCCAAGGGCACATCAGTACTAACTGAATCTTGATGGAAAAGTACTTGGAAGTAGTGATTGAAAATGATCATGATACTTTTTTGTATTAAAACTAACTTAAATCTAAGTTGTTAGCAATCAGTTTTGATTAAATTAATATTTGATGCTAAGTCATTAGGAAAACATTGAATTAATTAGTAAAGTAGCCTATTTTAGAGCAAAGATTCAAACCCTCCTGATGATAGGCATGGAGGGGCCAACCATGTTCAAACTTTGCCGAGTGCAAACCAATGTCTGGTCCTGTATGGCTAAACTATAATCATTTCTTTGCTTTCTCTTCTTTATCTTTATGCATAAACACAGCATTTGGCATGCTGGTCAGGCAGTGCTGACTTGGGATTGCAAGTGGGTGCACAGAGAAATATGGTGGGTGATGGGCTAATGGACTGAGGGTCTTTGATACCTCCAGGAAACTAAACATGATGGCAGCAACAGTACCATGCATCTTCATGGAGTTTTTTGTTTCATAACTTACCTAAGCATCTCAACAAGGTATACTGAATCATTTACTGATTTTTTTCCCTATATCTGAAGAAAACAGCGGTGTAAGTGGACCACCAGATACATACAGAGAAGTATTGTTCTGTGAGCCCTAGAAGATACTCATTCTGATGGCCCTAGTTCAAATCCACCTCTTAGTCAGCCCGTAAATGGCACCTAGATGGCAGAATGGATAGAATGCCAGACCCAGAATCAGACCCAGTCATCTTCCTGACTTCAAATCTGGCCTCAGACACTTATTAACTGTGTGACCCTGCCTCAGTTTCCTCATCTATAAAAATGATCTGGAGAAGGAAATGGCAAATCACTTCAGTATCTTTGCCAAGAAAATCTCAAATGGAGTCAGAAAGAGTCACACGTGACTGAAAAATTACTAACCAACAACAACAAGAAGTAGTACTTCCCCAGATTCCCTGGGGATGTGAGATAAAGATGGGGAATGCTCCACAGCCATTTTGGCATGGGGCATCCAACTTTTCCAACCTCATTATCTATTACTCCCCTTTCTGTGATCTATATTCCAGCCAAATTGGCCTTCTAGCTGTTCCTCACAGATGACACCCCATTCCCATCTAATCTACCTTTGCACTGGCAGTCCCCCAGGCCTGGGATGTACTTTCACCTCATTTCTGCCTCTAAGAATCTCATTTCCTTCAAAACACCTTCAAAACAGGAGACATCTTTCACAGGAAATATTTTTCTGGGTTCTCCCAGCCGCTAGTGCCCTCCCCTCTAAAGCCACATTTTGTACATAGATATCATCTCCCCTGGGAGAATTTAAATTCCTTGAGGACAAGAACTGTTCCATTCTGTCACATTCTCAGACCCTAATCCATAGTAGGCACTTAATAAAATGCCTGTTGATTGACTGAGGCTTCTGGCCATAAGACATCCTAGCATCCCATGCCTAATCAACACACACTGTACTGCAATATATACCAGGACATTGGATACCAACGAAATGTTCTGCAACTTGTTACAGCATCAGACTAAGTCAAGGCCACCAGCTGCATCAACACTGAGTCAGTGGGTGGGGGGTGTGTGGGAGAAGACTAGGAATAGGGCCAGAGACAGTAAATTAGGCAAGGTGCCTCCACTTGTCTCTCCATATGGTGTGTGCCAAGGTTGCCAGGCCCTGCCTCAAATGCCACATCTTAATTTTGTAAGCCAATGTAGGTAAGAGTGAAAAAATGGTCTTCTTGGATGGTACTAAAAGTCAACATTCACAGCATCCAGGATGACTTGGCAATTTAGGGAGATTGAGCAAGGGGAAAAATAGGCAGAAGATGCCTCTCTGAGTGAGATGACTTAGATTTTGCTCCTGCAGCAATCAGTCCGTTACTTTGTGATAACTTCTTTATCCTCACTACATTGCTGCTGATACGTGTGACTGTGGATAGGGTCATGCAAGTCCTTGTTGCCATAACTAATCAAGAGAAAATAGAGCTGAATGGGAAACTTGGCAAGAGAAATAGCTTACCTAGAGTTATCCATCCTTGCTCTTAGATCCAAGTATCACTAAGAGTAGATTCCGGAACAAAAACAAGGATCTGGAATAATCTGTAGCAAAATTGATTTTGGACAAAAATATGAAATAGTTCAACATTGTCCTTGGCTACTGTGGCTTTCCCTTTTTACCCCAATCTCCATCCCCCTGCCCCAGTCTGGGGCACAGCTTTGTTGCTGTTCAATCGTTTTTCTTTCATGTCTGACTCTTCATGACTCTATTTGGATTTTCTTGGCAAAGATACTGGAGTGGTTTGCCATTTTTTTCTCCAGCTCATTTTATAGAACAGGAAACTGAGACAAACACAGTTAAGTAATTTGCCCAGGGTCACCCAGGTAGTAAGTGTCTGATGCCTTAAGACTCTAGGAATTGCACTCAATCCACTGTGCCACCTAGCTGCCCCTGGGGGCACAGCTGCCTCCCCCAATTCCCTCAGACACTCAGCCTCATATTCTCTCCACTTAACAGACCAGTTCTCTGGGGGAAAATCTAATAAATCTAGTCACACTACTGTGGAGTGTGGTACAGTGAACAGAGTACCAGGCTTGGAGTCAGGAAGTCCTGAAGTCAAATCCAAGCTCAGACACTTACTAACCCCGGGAATGTCACTTAACTATTGTTTGCCTAGCACCTACCTCCTAGGGTAGTTGTGAGGATCAAATGAAATAATAATTGTAAAGTGCTTAGCACAGTGCCTGGCACACAGTAGGTGCTATATAAATGTTCTATCATTGTTGAGGTGTCACTGCTCCCAGGGACGCCTGCATTTCAATATCTGAACAAAGCCTTTAGCTAATAATAGCAATGATGGTGATGGTGATGGTGATGATGATAACAATAGCTTACATTTATATAGCTCCTTGGGCTTTTAATATCTTGTCTCATTTGATTTGATCTTCATAATGTCCAGGTGGGGTGGATATTTTTATTATTATTATCTCCATTTTGTTGATGACAAAACATGACTTCCCAGGGTCATGCAGCTATTAAGTGTCTGGGGCATTACTGGAACCTGGGTTTTCCTGATTCCAAGTCCAATGCTATACCATGGACCCACTTCTCTGAAATCAAAATTAACCTACTGATAAAGCAGCTCTGTTAATCAAATATCCCTCCTACATGACTTCCCTCAGCACCTATGGCCTTCTTCCCCAAATTACTCTGTATTGAATTTTAATTTTTAAATTGTATTTAATTTTTCTCTCTTTCGCAAATACTTATTTTGTATTTACAAAAATGTGTACATACTGTCTTCCTCTATAGAATATAAGCTTATTGAAGGCAAGGGCTATTTCACTTTAGCACAGGGAAAGTGCTTAACAAATGCTTGTGAAAATAAAACAATTCAAATTGAATGCTGTGAAATTATAAAGATTAAGCTTGGCCTAAGGAAAAGATAGGAAAAGGTATCTTCTTTGTAGAGGTGGGGAACTATGGACATGGAGCACTGCAGATAAATGCTTTTTTGATGTATTGGTTGGTTTTTCTGAACTAATTTTTAAAAATCTTTAAAAAAATTCTTTGTTACAAAAAATGGTTCTCTGGGAGAGAAGGGGAGAGTTGCATTATGAACCATGGGTAATGTAGAAAGAAAATATACAAATAAATTTATTTTTAAAAAGAAATGTTGGTTGAATTGTATGGAAAGCCTATTTAAACAATTTAATTTATATTTTAGTTGTATATCATTATCGATATCTCTCCTCACAGCTTCATTTATCTCATTCTTTCATTACAGTTTCTAAATGGGGTGTACAGAATTTAGACTACCAAGAACTGAAGTCTGAATTAAGTGAGGTTCCTGCTTCTCATATCTTCAAAGAGAATTCAACCAATCATTCTGGTACTAAAGATGTGGACAATGGTATTACCTTTATATTTCTTCTTATTTTTCTTTTCCTAATTTGTCCCTATCCCTCTTTGACTTGTCCTCAATATCAGCCTGCCCTGAAGAACAAATGAGAATTTCCTTTGTGAACTGTGAGTTGACTTTCCCTTTTCTGTGGTTTTCCAAGGAAGGAGAAAGAAAGATAGGCATGAACAGGGGCCTGCTGTTTTTGTGAATGTTATAGGAACTTGCCCTACTTATTTTGTGGAATCTTTCCATATGTGTTTGACTCACAGACTCTCAATGTTGGAAGGCACCCTAGAGGCCATAGAATCTAGCCTGTACTTGAAGAGCAATTCCCTTTATGACATCCCCAAAGAGTCATCAAGCCTCTCATTTAAGTATTCCAGGGATGGCAGCCTGAGGCAGCCTATGACGCTTTTGGACAGCTCTGTTTATTTGAAGAATTTTTCTGACATCAAGTTTTGGGTTTTTTCAACATCTGTATGTTGCTCCCTATCCTACCCATGGGCCAAGGGAAGCAAATCTAATGCCTCTTCCAAATGATGGCCCTTGAAACACTTGAAGACAACCATCATATTCCTGAGTGTTCTCCAGGACAAATATCCCTAATCCCTCCAATCAGTCCTCATTTAGCATGGTTTCCACTTTTCTTCCCATCCTGGTTACCTTTATCTGGACTCATTCCCATTTACCAGTAATCCTTCCTAAAATGTGGTACCCAAAACTCAATACAGTACTGTAGATATGGTTTACATAGGGCAGAGTATAACAAAATTATCATCACAGGGTCTGATCACTAAGTCTCTTTTTGCAACCTAAGATCCCTTTATATTTGGGAGTTATATCACTACTGATTCATATTGAGTGTGTGGTCTGCTAAAACCACCTACATTTTTTTTCATATGAAGCATTGTCTAATTTTGCCTTCTCCATCCTCTACTTCCACAGCTGATTTTTGAAACACAAATATAAGACTTTACATTTCTCTATTATATTTCATTTTATTATACAGGATGTCCCAGAAGTCTTAGTATAGTTTTAAGCCACTGAAACCTAAAACTACACTAAAACTTTGAGGCACCTTACATTTGACCCATCCTATCAGCCAATGGAGATATTTTTCAATGCTTGCCTTTGTCCTACAATGTGTTTGCTATCCCTCCCAGTTGTATGTCACCCACAGATTTGATAAGCACACCTTCTATGCTTTTGTTTTTGCCACAGGTAAACACATTGAACAGCACAGAACCACCAAGAGACTCCTAGGGAATTACTCTGGAGACCTCCTCCCTGTTATCATCTGTCTATTAATTCCTTGACTCCAGTCACTTAACTGGTTTAAGATCTAACTAATGACAGTATCCTCTTGCTCATACCTCTCCATCTTTTCCAAAAGGACAATATAGGACAGATTGTCAAATCTTTGCTGAAATTTGGGTATTCTCTATCTACATCATTCCTCCTCATCACTTTAGTCTAGTAATCCAGTCATAAAAAGTAAATGAGTCAAAGCCATGCCTAGTTATCACCACTTCCCTTTCTAACTGCTTACAAATTATCTTTAATAATACATTCTAGAATTTTGTATTATACTTAAATTCATCCATCCATTATGTGCAGAGTAGTGCATTGGGCCATAATGAGAAATCAAAGATTATTGAGACATGATGGTGGATCTTAAGGTGTTTATAATTTAGTTCCAATACTTCTTTTAATATATTTCTTCCATTTGTGATAGAAAAACTCCCACACACATATCTTCACCAAAAAATTTATGCGCAAAACATTATGCTCAGCTGAAATAATTGAGGAGGCTTAGCCTTGAGGAGATTGAGAAGGGACAGGATAATGACCTTACAGTAGCTGAAGAGCCGCCATCATTGTGAAAGTAGGATCAGACTTGTTTTGCTTGGCTATAGAGGGCAGGATCTGGGGCAATGGTTAGTTTCAAGGAGGCAAACAGAGGCTTGAGGTAAAAAACAAAAAACAAACAAACAAAACAAAACTACCAAATGAACTCTGTGTATGATACAGCTATTCAAAAGTGAAATGGTTGCCTTGGGACGTGGTTCCCCCTCGCTGGGGGTCTTCAAGCAAAGATCACCTATCACATATGACATAGAAAGAATTCTTGTTCAAGTATAGGTCAGACTGCATGGTTTCTGAACTTCCTTCTGACTCTGAGATTTTGTGATTCTATGAGGCTGAGATTATACATTTCAGAAATGTTGACTATTACTAGTAATATCAAAACTATTTTTAAAGTGCCTGGCACATAGTAGGCATTTAATAAATGCTTACTCCCTTTCCAGTGATGATCATATGAGAAAAGTTTTGAGAAATAGTCAAATTATGAAATAATGAGATATGAGAAGACTAGAGAAAATAGACCCCATCTTCAATAACAAAATTAAAAATGCTTAAGCCCATTCAACACAGTGACTAGGATTTGTTTAAATCTAAATTTTTTTTGTCTAGACCTTTCCTCAAGCTGATGATTTATATATCATTCTATGTCTATCAAGATATTTTCCCCATTTATTCAACAAACATTTATTAAGTGCCTATTGTATACAGAATACTGTTCCAGTGACTAGGGCAGAAGCAAAGTTTAGACAAGAGATGGACCCAGTCCTTACAGAGCTTACAGTTTAGTCTTTGGGAAGAGCCAAGACACAAATGTAACTAGCTCTAAAACATACTATTACTTGACAATTGTATTAGAGACCTGACGAATGTGTGAGAATATGGCTTGTGAAATCAGTAAAAATCACATATTATCAAAGTAGCAAAAGAAGAAGGTAATTCTCTCCCTTATCTGTAAGCTGGGTCACTTTAAAATGAGCTCTCCTCACAACAACTCCGTGAGAGTTTTATGTCTATTTTATGGATGGAGAAACTAAAATTCAAGATGTAACATTATTTGGCCTAGGATCACACAGCCAGTAGGTGGTTTGAATCCAGAGCTTCAGATTCAAGTCAGGCTTTCTTTCCACTACATTGGCAGCTGGGTGGCCCAGTAGAGAGGCCATTTGGCCTGGAGTCAGAAAGTTCTGAGTTCAAATTTGGCCTTAGACACTTAGTAGATGTGTGATGGGTAAGCCACCTAATCTCTTCCTTCCTTAGATCCCTCAACTGTAAAATGGGGATAATAACAGCACAGATCTTATAAGGTTGTTCTGAAGATCAAATGAGTTAATATTTGTAAAAGCTCTATAGCAAACTGCCTAGCACATAGTAGGTACTTAATAAATGCTTAGCCCCTTCCCTATACTATGTTGCTTCTATTAGAGCCAGGCAAGGTGTAGTGATGTGCTTAGAGCTCAGATAGGATAGTTGAGTTGTTTTGTTTTCAAGCCTTGGGTCAAAGGGTTGCCTTTTAGGAGTTCTTTTTGGGTTAGTGCTATTGATTTTTTAGGATGAACATCAGTAGGACTCATCACTTCACCTAAGCCCATGAAAATTGAACCAACAGTGCTGTGGAGGTGACATTTCCTATCTTTACAATTAGCATTTACATTCAGAAAGATCTTTGGTAAATAGGTTTATTTTTCTATTTATTCAACAGGATGTGGAGAACTCGTCTGGGTAGGCGAACCTATCACTTTGAGAAAGGCAGAGACAATTGCTGGCAAGTATGGTGTGTGGATGAGAGACCCCGAGCCTATGTACCCCTACACTCGGGAGACCACTTGGAGAGTTGACACAGTTGGCACAGATATTCGTCAGGTCTTTCAGTACGACCAGATCAGCCAGTTCATGCGGGGCTATCCTTCCAAAGTTCATGTGCTGCCCATCCCAATGGAGAGCACAGGTGCTGTGGTTTACCGTGGAGCCCTCTATTATCAGAAACATACATCTAGAATTGTGATTAAGTATGACCTGAAGACTGAAAGTGTGAAGGCTCAGAAGGAGATTCCCAATGCTGGCTATCATGGACAGTTCCCTTATTCTTGGGGTGGCTATACAGACATTGACTTGGCAGTGGATGAAACAGGACTATGGGTCATCTACAGCACAGAAGAAGCCAAGGGAGCTATTGTCCTTTCCAAAATGAATCCAGACACACTAGAACTCAAACAAACCTGGGAGACCAACATTCGAAAGCAATCGGTGGCCAACTCATTCATAATCTGTGGCACTCTGTACACTGTCAGCAGCTATTCAATGGCCGATGCCACCATTAACCTGGCTTATGATACCAGTGCCAGGAGCAGCAAGGCCTTGACCATCCCATTCAAGAACCGGTATAAATACAGCAGCATGGTTGATTACAATCCTGCTGAAAAGAAGATCTTCTCATGGGATAACTTCAATATGGTGGAATATGACATAAGGCTCTCTCAGATGTGAAACACATCAGAGCTATCCTAGGAATTAGAGGAAGACACAATCCTCAGTACTAACTAGGAACTCAAGGACGGGAGGAGGCGGAGGGAAAAGCAAGCTGTCCTATGCTCATCCTGGTTTTTTGTGCTTTCTGTTTTCATAAACTCAGAAGAATTCACCTTTTCATAACACTTGGCTCTGAAGTAATAACATTTTGCCCACTAGGGGGACTGAAGGGAGAGAAGGAAGGAAGGGTAAGAAGATGGGTACAGTCACAAGTGTTGATTGAATACATGATAGGTTCTGCTCAAAACTAGCCATGCTTTTATGAAGAATACCAAATGGCTGAAGAATCACACCTTTGGAGGGCTTCCTGAGGAAAGCAATAGGGGAAGAAGCTGATTGTTTGACGAGTGGTTTAGCCAAGACCAGCCATTCCATTGCTTTGGGTGGTGGCTTTGTGAGTCCATCAGCATGGATTCTCCCTCCATGGATGGGATTGCACCACTCCTCCATACCTGCTCATCCTCCTTGATTCTCATTCATGTTTTCCTATAAATTTATCACCAAAGACTGCCCGACTTGCTGGGGTGGGGGGAGCAAGGGGAATCTTCCACTGTTATTTTAATTTCGTGGGGCTTGTAGAACTGCAATATATAACACAAAGCCAGCAACTCAGAGTGAAGAGAAGCATCCTAGTGCCTATGCCGGGCTTTGATTCAGAGACAATGTATTCACAAGGGTAGCTCCTACTGTCTCTGATTGTGCCCACTGGTGCCTTTTCAAATAAACATGTTGCAAAATGTTCACGTTTGTATTCGGTGTGATTATATTACTGTGCTTTTGATAGATACTTGTGTTCACCGAGGGCATTCATGTTTCCTCCAGATTCCTTAGAATGCTTCCATTTGAGATCAGGGGAATGGTATTAGCTTCCAAAAACTAATATGGAAGAACAGGGCTTGAAGTAAAAAATCATAGGACCACAGATAGAGAGCTGAAAGGGACCAAAGGACATTTAGTTCAACCACCTCAGAAGAAGCTGGCATGGTTTACACCTCCAGCCTCTTGCAAAATAAGGAATCAGGCAACATTTATATATAATCTTAGAATCATTGATCTAGAACCAGAAGGGGCTTTAGAAGTCATGTTCAACCTCTTCATTTTACAGATGAGGGCACTGAGAAACAGAGAGGTTAAAAAACTTATGTAAGGTCACTCAGTCACTTAGGCAACTACATAGTAGGATGCATAGAGCAATGGGCATGAAGTCATGAAGGCCTGAGGTCAAAGTCAGGCCTCAGACTGGTTCAGGGACCCTTGGCAAGTCGCTTAATTTCTGTCTGTCTCAGTTTCCTCAACTGTAAAATGGGGATAATAATGGCACCTACCTTGCAAAGAATGTGATAATATTTTTAAAGTGCTTAGTGCAACACCTGGTACACAATAGGTGTTTAAATAAATGCTTGTTTCCCTTCCCTTTCCTTCAGGTACTACATGGCAGATTCAGGATCTCAACCCAGTCTTTCTGACTTACCACATTACCTTACATATCCCTTTAGTACCCCCCCTTCCTTTCCTTCTCTCCCTTTTCCCTCCCTTCCTATCTCTCTTTCTCTCTCTCCCCTCTCCTTCTCCCCCTTCTTCCCCCCTCCATTGCCCTGATTCTGCCTTACACCCTCATTTTGTCCCCAGTTAATCCCCAATAAAGTATCAGCTGACATGAGGATGCAGCTAGAAGAGAAGCTGACTCTGGAGTCTGAGGATAGCGATAGGGGCTACACCTGAGAAACTCACTCTACAAATGCAGGTTGATACCTTCTCAGCAACTTGGAGTCTTAAGAGAGTTGCCGAGATCAGAGGTACCAAACGGCCTGCAATCTCCAGTGCAGCTAGATTACAACGTAATTGGGAAATATTGAACAAAAAATACAAATACAATAGAACATAGATATTGCTAATATGTGGTTTTCTAAGCCAATATATGGCCGGCAAGGACCCAAGGTCAAACAACTAATATGTGTCAGAGGCAGGTTTTGAACCCAAGTCCTCTTCAAGGAAAGTCCTCTAGCCGCTGTGCCACAATCCCTCTCAGTCAGGTAATCTGGGTTAAAATCCGACCTGTGCCATGGCTTGTACAACCTTGGGCAAATCATTTCATCTCTCTACCCTCAGTTTCCTCATCCATAAAATGGGGTTTGTATGTCTAGATGAACTCTGAATGCTCTTCCAGTTCTAGATCTATAATAATAGCTATCATTTTAATATAATAATATATAATTTTAATATAACAACAGCTAGCACTTTGGGACTTGCAAAGGACTTTACACATATCATCTCATTTGATCCTCACAATAAGCCCAAGAGGTAAGCGCGATTATTATCCTCATTTTACAGATGAGGAAACTCAGCGAAAGGTTAAATGACTTGCCCAAGGTCACAGCCACTAACTGTTTGAGGCTAGATTTGAACTCAGAGCTCCCTGATTCCAGGTCCAGAGCCCTATCCACTGAGCCACCTCCTAAGGTCTCCTGGGGTATCTGCATTTTAATAGGAGTTGCAAAAATGAAAAGTCATTAGGACCCAAAGAAATAAATTTTTTGATGATGAAATTTTAGACATGTTGACAAGTTATTGGAGAGGAAGAGGAAGATAGGTTGGGACATGATATCATTTATTCTAATCACACCATACCTACACAGTACTAAGGTTTATTCTGGTTTTGTTTTTATTTTTTCACCAGTCCTGGTCCTACTTTTCCATCCCACTACCTTTGGTTTTTTTGTTCAACTTCTGTGACAAGCAATGACTGAAGTCTCACATTTTCAAGATTTTATTACTTTTACCAATTACAAAAGACAACAAATATTCTACAAGGTAACATCAATGACATCAGAAACTACACCTACTTCATGTCAAAATTTTGGTTTAAAAAGAATTTTTAAAAATACCTAAGCTAAGGAATAACAATTGAGGTCAAGGGAACAAAAGTCTCACTCACATTGAAAAACGGGTGCAAAGCAGAGGATGCATGTGAAGCTGCTCATTTCTGGTGGTATGGGAAGCCCCTTGGAGACACATGAGACAGAACTCAGCAGGAGTTATTTCAATCAGTGACTTCAGTCAGAGAGGTCTCAGATCAGCATTACAGAAGCAGGCAAGGGCCTCTGTAGCCTTCGGCAGGAGATGGAGGAGGCGGTGGAGGGACCAAGAGTATAGGAGAAGTTGTGCCCGGGGGAGAAGAGAATCCTAGCTTCATTAATCTAGAAAGAAAGGCAGAAACGAATCTTTGACAGTGAAATTTTAGACATGTTGACAAGCATGTTGACAAGTGAAGAGACTTGATTAAACATCCCTTGTAATGCCAAGGACAGCTAGATCTGGTTTCATCATTCTCAACCTCCTACTGTCTTTGAATGTTGGACTAATTATCTTGAGGGACCTAGCAAGTATTCAGCAAATATTTCTTTGATTGATTAAAGTCAGCGGAAGGCTAATTATCTTGGCTAATTAAAAATAATATACTTTCCCTATAGAAATCAAAATACTTATGCCAGCATTTTTTTGTGATAGTTAAGAATCGAAGACAAAGTAGACGTCCATTACCTGGAGGACGCTAAACACATTTTGGTACCTGAATGAAATGGAACACCACTGTGCTGTAAGAAATGATGTGTATGGGGCAGCTAGGTGGTGCAGTGTATAGAGCACTGGCCCTGGAGTCAGGAGGACCTGAGTTCAAATCCGGCCTCAGACACATGATACTCACTAGCTGTGTGACCCTTCACAAGTCACTTAACCCCAAATACCTCACCAAAAGAGAAAGAAAAGAAAATCTACAATAAGTACTTCATTAAAAAAAAACAACAACAACAACACACTTTTGGGGCAGCTAGGTGGTGCAGTGGATAGAGCTCCGGCCCTGAAGTCAGGAGTACCTGAGTTCAAATCCGGCCTCAGACCAAACACTTGACACTTATTAGCTGTGTGACCCTGGACAAGTCACTTAACCCCAACTGCCTAAAAAAAAAATGATGTGTGACGAATTCAGAGAAGCAGGGAAAGATCTACATGAACTGATGCGGAGTGAAGCAGGCAGAGGCAATAAAACAATATACACAGTAAAGACAACAATGTAAATAGAATGAACCACACACACATACATATAAAAATTGAATGTAACAAAATTATGAAGATCAAGCATGATTCATATGAAGAGATATGAGAGGACACCCCCAACTCACCCCTTCATGGCAGTGGGAGGTCCACAGATGTTGCACATTGCACCTGTTTTCAGACTTTTTTCAATGTATTGATCAATTGTACTGAGTTTTTTTTCCCTTTTTTTGTGTGTTTAAAAAATACTATTTGTTACATGGGTGACTCTCTGAGAGGAGGAGGGATACTGGAGAAAACTATAATGATGTAAAAAACAAAAGACAACAATAACAATTTACTTAGAAAATAATAACACATTCAACAGCTATCTAATTCATTGGTCTATGAAATCTGGTCCTACATGAAATAGTTGGACCAGATTTAGAGATCATCTAGACCAGAAGGCCACATGTGGCCCTCTAGATCCTCAAGTACAGCCCTTTGACTGAATCCAAACTTCACAGAACAAATCCCCTGCACTTGAGGACTTAGAGGGCCACATGTGGCCTTGAGGCTACAGGTTCTGCACCTCTGATCTAGGTTAATGTCCTCATCTTACAAAAGAAAGATTTCACCTATATCACCCTACCAGTGAAAAAAGTTCTATGAGTCAAACCCAGAGCTCGTGTCCCAATCCACTGTTCTTTCTACCATACTATACTGCCTCTCAATTTCATATATGGAAACCTGACCTCAGCAGATCATAAAAGCAGTGACTGTAAGAGTTGGAAGGGGTCTCGTTCAACCCTTCACCCAGTCCGGTAGTACCCTTAAAAATAATCCCAACAGTCTAGTTAGTTCTTGAACCCTTTCAGTAACAGAGGACTCACCACCTAACAACATAGACTGGAGAACATTATGGCAATCTTCAACTATTTGAAAAATTATTAATTATTCGATGTATCAGACTTGTTCTGGTGGATCCGAAAGGTTGACGCTAGGAGCAAAGTGTGGCAGTTTCAGAGAGTAGGGTTTAGACTTAAAGAAAAACTTGAACAATTAGAGCCATCCACAAGAAGAAAAGGCTGCCTGCCCTTCCTAGAGGGACTCAGTCAGAAGTTGACCATGTTGGAGGTGGGATCCTTTGTTCAGGCACAGGTGGGAGTAGGTAGGCCCTGAGGTGATTTCATAACCCATTTTATTATGAGACAGCTTTAATTCTTAGAAATTCCTCAGACGGGGGCAGCTAGGTGGTGCAGTGGGTAAAGCACCAGCCCTGGATTCAGGAGGACCTGAGCTCAAATCCAGCATCCGACACATTAACACTTACTAGCTGTGTGACCCTGAGCAAGTCACTTAACCCCATTGCCCAGAAGAGGTGCTCGATAAATAATTGTTCCCTTCCTCTAAGATCTAGCTTCTACATTCATAAATAGAAATAATATATAGATAATACATAATAGATAAAGTAAAACATGCCCTGCCTCCCTCAAAGGCTGCCAGAAGATCAAATGAGACCTTGAATAGGAAAGTCCTACAGAAAGGTGAGAAGGTGTCTTTTATTCGTCTGTTTTCAGAGTCAGGCCTAGACAAACCACCTACTCTACAGTTTTGTAGTGTAGCTTGCTGGCAGGATGGCCACTTCTCTGCCTGGACCAAGTCCCTTCCTCCCAAACAATCCCAGCAT